AAGTGCTTTAGCACAGTGAGATAAACATTCTCCTGATAAAGACAGAATTATAGGATCATCTAGGATGGAAAAGACCTTCAAGATCAAGTCCAAACCTAACCCAGCACGGTCAAGACATGTCCAGGTAAAGGTGTACTTAAGAAAGGAATTCTTCCAGGACCTACACTTTGTATAGAAAACTTTATGCCCACAACCAGGACCCTGTATTTACCTCAGACCAAATCTCAGATGGGAATTTATCACAGGGCATGTCCAAGAACATTTTCCCAGCTAACAAAACATCAAACACTGTTTTAACCTTAAATAAAATTAAATTAAATAAAATGCAACTAGAGGTAGGATCCTTGTGAAATAAATCCTAGATTTTCATTGCTCAATCTTGGAAACAGAAGCCCAGGGGTTTCTTGACCAGGAAATTAAGTTGCCAACTGCAGCCATTATTCCAGGAAAAGGGGAAAAGAACAGTACTGAGCTGAAGTTCCCCCTCAGGCCCTTTGGCCCCAGTCTCAATCAAGAAAATCCCCGACAGAGCCTTTTTTTTGTAACAAATTTTTTACCAAAAAACCTCCCAGCATAACATGGGACACATCAAAATCTAATTTAAATTCCATTCCGAAATCTACCCTCTTTCCCCACCCTTTCAGCTACCCTTTTTGATACAGTGAAGGTGCCCAAGTTCCACTTATTTCCATGAAAGGTATATTCCAATGGATCAAAAATTTAGATAACGCTGATTTTTAGCATCATCTCTCCAAATATCTGGAATTAAATTAGAATAATGAAACCACTTGCAGGACGTGGAAGAGCAAAGCTCAAACCCTGAGTGAATTTTTATGGAAATACTCAATGTCAGCTGGATAATCCAGCAGAAAAAGACATCACTTGGCTCCTTTGGGCTACTGGAAACATGCAATGGTTTATTGTGATTTTGTCCTGACCCTGGTGACATCATCAAGTGATTTCAGGAGGAAGGTACTAATTCCGGTGGGCTGGCCAGCCTGAGATCTCCAAAATTAATATAAAAACCTGCCCAGAAGCCAAGAATCAACTGTGTAAACACTGACAAAAATAAGAACTATGGTGATATTTACCATTCAATATTATTTTTTAAAAAGTCTTCTGCTTCACAAAACTGCTTTTGTTTTTCTTGAAAGCTGATTGTCATACTGAAGTGGTATTAAAAAATCTCTTTGAGACAAAACCTGGGGAACAGTACCTCCAAAACCAGCCCCAATACCTGCACTCAGAACTCTAACTTCAGTAATTATTTGAATGAATGTTGGAAATTTCAAAGGCAAGTGGATCTTGCTGACAAACAGCAGGCACAAAACAGATCACAGTGTTCTGGTTTTACCTCACAGTGTTTTCAGGAGTAATCTTGTAGCTTTGAAATCAATCTGACAATAAAACACAGTAAAAACAGGGTTTTTTATGACATGACATCCAGCAGCTCTTACTGTAAGACACAAGAACGCAGCAGGCCGGAAGAAAAATCAGTTTTTGACTTTTTGTGCATGCACTTCATTATCCATGTGGATAATTGATCCAGAATCCATTGAGGTGAAGGCAAAGTTGCTTGTGCCGAGCAGAGTTTGGTCCTTGTTGCCCTCAAGCGCTGGTTCACTGAAGGGCAACATAAAGCTCCTGTTTTAGCCTCGTTTCCCTGCTCACTTTCTGCAGCATCTGTGGGAAGCAGGACAGTTCTCCAGTCCCACTGATCTCTCCCACCCCAGCTCAAAGCACACTTTGTTCACCTCAACCACAATGAAAAGTCAATCTTTGGTCTTTGCACGCCACTGTCCCGGCCAGCAGTGTCCACAGGTGCCAGGTATCCTGGTCATTCCTCCCAGTCCTCCATGGCCCACTCGGGCATGCTGGAGCAGTACTCGAAGTCCGTGCCCTTGTAGCGCAGGGCGTGCAGGAACATCACCAGCTCCTTGGGAGAGGGGTCCCGTCTGCTCGTCTTGCACTCCACACACAAAGGGTCCTTCTCTTCCCAACCCTTCTCCCCCGTTTGCCCATCCTGATTCCCACACAAACTCAGCTCTTTGTCTTTATCAAGCATTTCCAGGTTGATATCAGAGTTCAGTGGGCAAACTGCTGCGTCATCCCTCTCGGGATCCTTCTCGTCCTCAGCAGGGCAGGAACTCCCATTTATAGGATGAGCCTCAGCAGACTTTGTGCAGTCACCTGAATTCCCACAGTCTTTACTTTCACCACCGGAGTTCAAGTCCTCCTCCCCAATACCCAGGACCTCCAGGCTCTGTTTGGAACGATGCTCCTCTACCAGAGCCTTCAGGAGTTCCTCATCCGTCTTCCCGATCTTCCCGCCCTTGCCCCTGTCCGGGCCCCAGGCCTCCATGTTGTAGATGGGATCGTTGACAATGGGGTGGCCCAGGAACTGCAGGTGGACGCGGATCTGGTGCGTGCGGCCCGTGCGCGGCAGGCACCTCACCACGCTGCTGCTGCCGTTGTAGCTGAGCCTCTGGAAGAGGGTTTGGCAAGGCTTCCCCTTGGGATCCACGCGGCACACGCCCACCTTATAGGAAACCACCAGGATGGGCTCCTCACAGACCACCTCGTGCTCTGGGAACTCCCCCACCACCCGGCAGACGTATTCCTTCTCCAGCTGCCAGGAGACACGAAGAGGAAGGCTCAGGAAACACAGTGGAAAACGCACCCAAGCTCCAGCCTTGCTCCTCCTCCCTCTCCCCTCAATAAAATACATCCGAAGGTGGCATTTTATTACAACAGGAAAGGGAAAAAAATTAAATCAGCTACTTAAAGCTGAATTTCCCCTCGCATTTTCCCCAGCTAGTTGGGAAATCAGGAACAGAAAGACCTGGCCTATTTGCCTCGTATTGAATTCAGGAGCCATCTCTCTGCAACCTTTGCTTTACAGCCCTGAAGCCAATCCTGGAAAAAGTTCTGTTTGGATCGAGAGACTCTGGAAAAATGGGAATTTTAAAATTATAAAAGTAGTGGGTAGTTGACATATGTCCACTCACAAATAGATCTCTTCTCTAACTGGTTTACATGATCCCAGTATTTTGCACAGTCCCGTGGGATAATCCCAATCCTTTAGGGAAGAAGATCCCCTCCAACCTAATATTCCCAAAATAATTAAAATTTTTAGATCACTTTCAACCTAAAATTACCAAAATAAATTAAAGTTTTAGGAGACCTTTTTCAGTTTAATATTACCAAATTCAATTAAATTTGGAGGCGATTGCTTTTAGCCCAGTATCACCAAATTAAATTAAATTACCACATTGAACTAAATTTTTAGGTGATCCCTTCCAATCTGATATCAGCAAAAGCAGCTAAATTTTTAGGTTTTTCAATCTAATATTATCACACTAATATCACCAAATTCAATTAACTTTTTTTAGGAGCTCCCTTCCAACCCAATATTACCAAATTCAATTTTTACTCTGTCTTTAGCCTCTTAGGGATGAGAAGCACCAACAGTTAAGAACAGCAACATGACCATGAGTTGTCTGGGGAACTTGAGCTCATCTAGACACCAAATCTGGCTGACTTTGGAGCACAGCTGCTCCAGGACAGCACAGCAGCAGCGGCTCCCAGCCCTCACCTGCCTCTGCCGGACCTGCTCATCGATGCGCTTGGACACGGCCGCGGTCTTGGCAAACATTAGCACGCCCGAGGTCATGCGGTCCAGGCGGTGCAGGGTGTGCAGCTCCCGCAGGCCGTGCTCCTTGCCCAGGATGAAGATGACGGTGTTGTGCCGGAACCTTCCACAGGGGTGGACGGGCAGGGACGAAGGCTTGTCCACCACCACCACCTCCTCATCCTCTGCCAGGATGCGGATGGGCTGGGCGGTGACCGGCGGCTCGTGCCGATGCACCGTGTTCCTGAGGAAGTCGTTGTTCTGAAAGGGATATGGACAATTAGCCTGAATCCAACTTGTGCAACCACCCACAAACAACAGGGACTTAATATTGTGGGAGAAGAATTAAAGCCCCTTTCTCCTGGGACTTGGGATTTAGGTAGTAAGTGTGTGTGTCACCATGTAAATCCGATAACTTGCCCATCGGGTATTCCCGTTCCCAAGGGCCAAGGAAGCCGTACGGTACGTGTGGAGCTGCAGGATCCACACATTCCTGAATCCAGTGGGGCAGCGATTTCCAGGAAGCCCCGATTTCCCCTTCAACCCCTCCACAGGGTGCACAGAATCGCAGAATCCGCCGACTAGTAAGGAACCCATGAGGATTATCGAACCCAACTCCTGGCCCTGTGTTATCTGACCACGCAGCTCACGGCGTGATGCTCACGGCTTGGAGCAGGCCGGGCTCTGCCACCAGCCCACGATCCCCCCGGGAGCGCCCACCCCGGGCCCGCCCACCTTGAGCACGATGTCCAGGTCGCGCACGGGCTCCTCGTTGAGGCGCAGGCGGCCGGCACGGGCGGCAGCGCGGTAATAGGCGAGGGGCTGCGCTCGGAACTCGGTGCCGAAGACGTGCAGGAGGCTGCGGCCCACCCAGCGCCCCTTGCAGTAGGTGCGGAAGTCGAAGTAGTAGGGCCGCACCTTGCGCAGGCCGCCCTCGAAGTAGTACGAGGTCTCGGCGAAGTGCTCGGCGCCGAAGCTCACGCCGGAGTTCAGCTTCCGCGGCGGCGGCACGTACCGCTCGCCGCCCGCCAGCCGCCGCTTCTTGGGGACCGGCGCCGCCTCCTCCTTGCCGGCGGGGTCCGGCTCCGCCTCCCGGGCTCGGCTGGGGCCGGGTCCCAGCTCGGCCATGTCCCCGCGGGGCGGCGGCGGCGGCCGGACCCCGAATCCCGCCGCGCGCACACACGCCAGCCACGCCGCGCGCCGCACGCCGTGACGCATCGCGCTGCGCCGGGCGGCGCGGCCAATCAGCGCGGGCAAGCTCCTCCAGGCCACGCCCCCGGCGCCCCTGTCTCGTTCCCGCCTTCCCCCCCCGCCCCCCGGGTCGTGAGGGAGCGAGAGGAGGCGGAGACGATGGAGGGGCGGGAGTGCTTTTCTTTATTTACCTCCCAGCAGTTTCCCCGCTCAGAGCTGCTCCACAAATGACCCTCGAGCCTCACCGCAGCCCGCCTGCCCCATGTGAACCTGCTCAATCACCGCCTGCGGGAGGGACACGTCAGGGAAAAGCCGAAACACGAGCATTTCTTAATAACCCAAATCAGAACAGCCAAGAAATGAACATTTTTTATAATCCCAAAGGGGGAAAAGTCCAGAAATGATCGTTTTTCAAAACTCCAAACAGAAAAAAACACTCCAAGAAACGAGGATCTTTCATAACACTACAATCCAGTGCTGCTGCCCATGATTAAATTAGTTGGTGCAGGCAGGAGAGGACACACTCCCATGTTTAAAAACAATGACAAATCAGGGTACATTGCTGCTCCGAGACACTAATTGCGACTTATTTTTGCCAAGCATTAGGCAGAGTAGTCGATATTAAAGTGGTTTTAGTGAAGCTTTAGATATTCCTGTCTGCTTTCAGAATTCTCTGTGAACTGATGTTATCTAGAGTTTATCAGACAGGATAGCTGGAGTTGTCTGGACCCACTCCCTGGAAGCTGCCATGGCCTCCAAGAGCCTCCCCTGGTCTTGTCCCTGTTCTCCATCCCTCCAGAACGAGCTCCTCTGAAGCAGGATTTCCCTTTATCCATTGATGAAATTTCCATTAAAAAGCAAAACCATACTGACCATCTACAGGCCTAAGTCCCTCTCATGAGCTTTCTGAGGTGCCTTTAGAGATATCCATCCATGTGTCAGAGGTCATCCCTGAGGCAAAGGAAAACCAACAGTTACTACTCCCTCAGTTCTGTGCCAGCATCACGTGGAATTTAAAAACACACACAGGCTCCAGAAAAAGAGGAAATAAAACTCTGCAAGCTCTCTCAAACAGAAGATACTCCCTGCTTTGCCAAGCTGTTCTCTCCTTTTTTTCCCCACAAACGGCATCCACCAGGGATCCAGGACTCGGTCAGCAAAGCCAAGGAAAGCAAGCTCAGAGGAAGAGGAGGGAGTGTTCCTCAGGGAACAGCAGATTTTACCGAGGCCACTGCTTTTCCTTGTCTGTGAGAGGGACGTAGATGACGCCCATGAGCTGGGTCTCGACTATATGTCCATCACTGGTCTTGTCATACTGCATCAGCACCTGGTTTGCTCCCTCGGGCCCCACGGGCACGATCAACCGCCCGCCTGGCTTCAGCTCCTTCAGCAGCTGCAGCACGGAGAAATCCCACTCAGCAGAGGCAAAAAACCCCACACAGACAGTGGGAATGAGCAGCACTGTGAAGGTCATGACAGAAAAGAAGCTCCCAGTGGTTTCCTCATTTTCTCTCAGCACCGCCACTCTTACCTCTCTGGGGACGGTGGCTGCAGCCGCTCCCACATGGATCGCATCGTAAGGAGCCTCCTCGGGATATCCCTGCCTGCCATCTCCAACTACAGAGAGAAAACATGCAGACAGGACTTCGGTTGTCATAACAACTCAAAGCATCAACACAAACTGGAAGGACTTGGTGGAGCAGAGCCAAGGGAAAAACCGTGGGATTGCAGGGAGCTCACCCACAAGCTTCACACGGCCAGAGCTGAGCAGCGTCGGATCATCCTCTTGGACGTTCCGGATGGATTCGTGCACCAGCTCCTTGATGTGCTCCACACCCACAGCTTTTCCTGTCGGGCCAATCTGGAACGAACAGTCAAACACCTGATGCTTCCCTTATGGAGGAGACAGGGCAGGTTTTAGTGGGAATTGGGGAATTTCCAGGAAGAAACTCCAGAGGTTCTGAAGAGGAGGTGCAAGCACTGTGCCTCTTCCTTGGTTTTAAGGCTGAGTAGTCCCAGTTATATCAGCTAATCAGGGATGTGCTTTCCAGGCTGGGAATAGAGTGCCATCACTCACCATCCTGGCGAAGCACGCGGTGAGGTATCCGCTCCCAGATCCCACATCCAGCGCCTTGGCACCTTCCACCAGCTGATCCTTGAGCAGCTCCAGCGCGTGGGCGTGCTGCAGGGACACCCAGGACAAGGAAGTGGGAAACATCCCGGGGTTAGTCTCCTCTTCCAACACTTCTCCTTGCTTTCTGATTTAATCACAGCACACCTGGCCTCGTGCCTGACACTTCCAGAGCAAAACTCAAGTGTCAGACCTGAAAGATCTTTTGCAGGACATCATTTAGGCAGAGTCTCAGGAATTAGATGTGAAACAGCAGAAAAAAAGGTCTCATGTAAAAAAAGGGACAACATGGAATTCTCATCTAAGCACACTTCTAAAGCAACTGAAAGAGTATAGGGGAAATTCCTCTTAAAAAAGAAAATCCCTAAAGAAACAAGCAGGATTATCATGTCCATGGGGTGTTTCAGTTTTCTACTTGAAAGAAAATTAAATATAAAAAGAGAAATAAACCATTCCCTCCATTTCTGCTGAAAGTGAGGAGTTTTCACCTTACCATGTGTGGGGCGCTGATGGTAGCCTTGTAGCCTATAAGGAAATGGGTGACACAAGTTATTTGATATAAAATTCCCAATGGGAACAGTCCTTAATTCTCCCCCACCTTCCCCTAAAAATAGGAAAACACTTGTCTCCTGTCACAGAATCACAGGATGATTTGGGTTGGAAGGGATCTTAGAGCTCATCCAGTCCCTGTCCCTGCCATGGGTGGGGACACCTTCCCTTACACTAGGCTGCTCCAAGACCCATCCAGCCTGGAACTGGACATTTCCAGGGATAGAGATTCCATACCTAAACCATGGAGCACCTGCCAAGGCACCTTGTTCCCCGCTGACAGCAGATGCTTTGACAGAGGTGACTCACCAATGGATTGAGGAGAGTCCATGTATGGGAAATACTTGATGTAGTGACCTCTGTCCGTAGCCAACAGCACATCGAAAACTCGCTGAGACTTAATGATCCCTTTTTCTGGGAAAGAGGGAAAAGAGAGACGGGCAGGACTGAAATCTTCAGCATCCCAGGAAGAAGAGATTTGAAAGGGGAAGCACACTTCAGGGAGTTCATGGATCTGGGGGAATTAATGAGGGATCTGAGACAGCAAAGCAAACGCTGATGGACGGGCATCCTTTCCCATTCCCACTAGGTGTCCAGCCACCAGCGTGGCCCATCTCCAGAGGGTGGCCACCTGCATCCACAACAGCTCTGCCACTTCCAAGTGTAACGGGAGTGAAATGGAGTCACGTTCCATGGCAGGAAACACAGACTCCGCTTCAGGTTTCAGCAGTGAACTCAAGGGCCATGACTGCAGAGGCATCCAACATCCCTTCACACCTTTCTGCGGGAATTCTGGGCAAGTTTACAGCTATTTTTATGTGTGTTCAAGCCCGCTGTCCTGAGCACCAGGCACCATTCCAGCCCCCTGGCACGGATGTCCGGGGCGCTCGGCTGCACCCCCGGGCTCGGAACTCCGAGCTGCAGCACTTTAAAGGGCGCCACACACTTCCAGAGACAGGGAAGGAAGGTGTGAAGAGGCTTTCCTGCCCCTGCTGGCATAACTCCTTGTTTCCATCTATAAATAGGATGAGTTCAGACTGGGACAAATGCCGAAATTCAGGAACATTAACCCCAACCCTTCCGAGTGAGCGGTGTCACACGGTGTGACACTAAATATCCACGCACAGACATTAAATATCCGTTCACTGCCACTCCAGAGGATGCTGCCGGCACTCACTGTAGAGGTTGTTGACCAGCTCCGCGTGCGTTTTCCCGCTGGATGTCCAGGCCATGGTCCTGGCGAACAGCAGCCCCATGAGTGCCAGCACGGCGCCGGACAGCAGCTGGCTCATCCCACGGACACGGCAGCGGCCTGGGGAGAGAGCGGGTTCAGAGCCAGGGCAGAGCTCCCCGTGTCCCGCCCTCGTTAAACCATGGCAGGTGTGACAGCGGCTCAAGGATGTCACACCGCACTCGCCTGCGCCGCCCGGGACAACTTCCGCCCTCTGCCAACATGGCGGCGCGGCTGCGTCAGCGTCCCCCACCCTGCGGACCAATGGGCGCCCTCGCTCCACCGGCGACGCGTTGTGATTGGTCAGAGCCGGAGCCGGTGGCCGCGGTGATTGGTCGGTCGCGGCGCCGGTGATTGGCCGGGCCGGGTCCGGAGAGGCGCGGGCGGAGCTGCCGCGGTGCCCGGAGCGCGGGGCGGTGGGTGCGGGACCGGGCGGCCCCTCCGCCCCACGGGCAGCAGCGGGGACAGCGCTCCCCGGGGCGCGGCCGGGCTTCCCGCTGGGATGAGAATTCCCTGGAACGTCCGCTGGCGTGACTTGGGCAGAGGGTGGGAGGTGGCGGAGGCCTGGGCGGGCGGATCGGCTGGGTGATCACCGTTTATTCCCCCCATCGCAGGATCCCACGATGAGGATGATCGAGAGCGTGGACTCCGTGGTGACCAGGTCCAGCGAGGACCTGTGGGCTGAGATCTGCTCCTGTCTGCCACATCCCGAGCAGAAGGACGCCGGCGATGCCTTCACAGACTCCTTCATGGATTCCTACGCCGAGGGCGGCGGATCGGGAGGCTCTTCCCAACCTGCCCCGAAGCCCTGGGCACCCCTGAACGACTCCGAGGTGTATTTAGCATCCCTGGGTGAGTGTCTCCCGCTGCTGAGGTACCTGGTGACAGCTCTGTTTATGCGGTGCCACTGCTGTGGTCAAAAAGTCTCCCAGCTATTTAACACAGAATCTGATGAATTTTCCTCAAGTGCGGTAGTGGAAAGGTGAAGCTCAGTCAGAGCTTCTTCATCTCTGCTGCAGAAAGGAACTTTTTATCAAATAAAAGCTGAAAAAGTAGTTTTTTACCCTCCACAATAAGTGGGAGGCTGCAATCAGCAACAGAGCAGGTGGCAGAAGAGGCTTTTTAAGCTTTTATTTCTGCCAGAACTTTCATCGTGCCTTCGTCGCTGTTTCACAGCGCACCGAGTAATGCAATGAGAGTGATTTATATTCCAATTTGCATGGAAATTGTGGGAACTCAGTGCCTGCGAGATCTGTGCCCTCCTGTGTGATTTCATGGAAACTGAGCAGTAAGTGTGAAAGTTATTAAAACCCCAAATGGGCAGAGTTGGCTGATTGCACAAATCTTATTTCCTTCAGAAGCATCATCTGAAAAACATCATCTTCTGTATATAAAGGAAAGAGAGCCACGCAGGCTTGAAATACAGAGGGGAAAATTGCTTTTAAAATATTAGTCTTGAAAAGTTAATTTTACTCACTTTTTGATATAGAAGTCCAGATCCTTCTCTCCTTCCAGAAAAAAACAAAAAACATAACCAAGATAACAAAATCCCCTGTTCTCCTCACAGAGAGAAGACTGATGAGGATCAAAGGCCTGTCCCAGGAGGTGACCTCCAAGGACATGCTGCGCACGCTGTCCCAGGCCAAGAAGGAATGCTGGGACAGGTTCCTGCAGGAGAAGTTTGAGGCGGAATGTTACGTCGAGGGCCACGATGCTGACGAGAGGTAACGAGCGAGTCAGCGGGAAGGGGTCACCACTTACCTCTTAAAAACTAGAAGAAGGTTTTGTCAGGACATTACACAGAAACACCACCTCCCTGCAGCTCAGAGAGGCTGCCACGGGATTCCTGCAGCATTTTGGGAATGCCCATTGGGGTTGTGCTAGAGGGAACACAGAGCATGTAGGGTTTGAGCTTCCAGTGCTCCTTTCCGATCTTTGCACCCTTCAGACTGCATGGAAGCAGCTGGGACCTGCTCAGTGATTTCCCTCCTCACATGTGGGGTAGGGAAGTAATGAAGCAGAGGAGGGAATGCCTGGTGTGTCTCAGATGGTGCCAGTCCTGGGATGAGATTTCCCTTCCCTGCCTCTCTTACAGTGCTTCTGCTCTCTCCCCCATTGCCCTCACACAGATGATGGCAGAAGTAAGATGGGAGCCCTTTTCCTAAGCAATCTCCCATTCCCAATCACATGGAATGCTCTCCAAATTCCTCATTTCTCAGCTGACATTTTCCATGATTGCTTCTGGATGACGAGAAGATTATTTCTCTCCCTTGAAGAAAATCTACTTAAGCCAGAACCATGAAAAATAATCCCTTGTTTATAAGGAGGTTTCAGATGATTTCTTTGGTCTCCAGTTAACTTCAATGAGATTTGTATTTAAAACCAAGCTTTTATGTGCTCTTTCTGCTGTTTTTAAAGGGTGAGGATGTTATCCAAGAAAGGATTTCAGTCCCTAGAGCTTGACTGTGGAATTAGAGGTCACTCCTGAATGGTGCTGAAGTTTTGAGTCTCACCCACTGATGTAATTAAACAAGCCTTAATTTTTAAGTGCATCGAATAGTGATGTTATACAGTTTGGGTTATATAGGTTTTTTAACCTTCCAGTGCTATTAATGCTCACACATTTTGAGATACTCTTCCTCATTTTTTGTTCCCTTCCCTTTCCCCAAAAAATATTTCCTGATCTTCATCACAAAGAGGCAGTCTGGGGTTTGGTTTATTTGAACAAGAGTTTTTTTTACTTCCAGCCCAGTAGGCTGGAAACTCCTGGAATCATAGATTCATTTTGGTAGGAAGGGACCTTAAGACTCATCCAGTTCCACCCACCTGCCCTGAATAGGGACACCTTCCACTGTCCCAGGTTGCTCCAAGCCCCATCCAGCCTGGCCTTGGACACTTCTAGGGATGGAACAGCCACAGCTTCTCTGGGCAGCCTGTGCCAGGGCCTCAGCACCCTCACAGGGAAGAAATCCTTCCCAATATCCCATGCAACCCTGCCCTCTGTCTGACTGAGTTGGAGTCTCTGGCTACAGAGACAGAAGAGGACTTCAGGTGTGTGAAGGCTGTGAAAAGGCTATGCAGGTCCTTTACACTGAGAGAAATCAGAGCATAAAATGTGTTCTAAGCACAGTTTCAAAGGCCCACCTGCAGGGGGTGGCTTTGTAGAATGACAGATTCTGCTTGTCCCTCTGGCACAAGGATCCATCCCACGCCAGACCTCGCCTGTGGGAACGGCAGTACCCGCAGAGGGGCAGGAAATGCCCGTGGAGGTTTTTCCTGTCGCTTCTCCTGTGTGTTCCTGTGTGTCTCTGTCACTCCCCGGTCTCACGGTGTCCCTTTGCTGTCCCCAGCACGCTGGAGCACCTGAAGCGCTGGCTGCAGCCTGACAAAGTGGCCATCAGCTCCGAGGAGGTGCAGTGCCTCATCCCGCCGGAATCGCAGCCGGAGAAGCCGGAGGCCGAGGAGGAGCCTCTGGCTGCGGAGCAGTGAGAGCCCCCAGCCGTGCCCGGGGCTGCCTCTCATCCCTGCCCCCTGGAAGATGTACCCAGCCATAGGAATAGCAGGAAGGGGGGCACAGAGCAAATTATCAGTAATTGAAAAAGTAATTTTTAAAAGAAAGAACCCCCAACACACCAAGTTCCAGCCCTGGAGCTCTGGAGACAGCGATGGCACTGGTAGGGACGAGAGGGAATGCCTGTGACACAGCTGAACCAAAACCTCACCATCTTCTCCAGCCTGCAGCCACCTCATCGTTCCAGCCTGGATGTGGATTGTTTGGAATCCATGAGGAGACACATTAAACAACAACAAACAACAAAAGCAGTTGTTGAGAAGCACCAGAAAACATCACGGTCTAGAATAGAGCGGAGAAACCACTGAATCACTTTCTTTCTGTCTTTTACCTTTCCATTGCTCAGTTGGGCATTTTTTTCCTCTCCTGCCAAATCCACTTTGGTGTTTTCTTCAGATCTTCAGTGTTTCAGGCTGACTTGGCCCCAAGCTGTGCCAGGAAGAAGATGGATATTTCTCACCTCTGTGAATTTGGGACCCTGAAGCTCTCACTGCAGTCAATAAATTGATGGTGTCATTGACATTGTAGCTATTTCACATTCCTCTCTGTAATGTACCCTCTAGTATCCCACTTTATTGCCCAAACTCTCTATAATAGACTATTGGGGGAGTATTTTTCTTCTTGTTGGTCATTTTGTACCTGTTCTTTATTCCTTCAGCCTCTCCAGAAAAAGACCAGATGAGATTCCCTATTGGGAAACCAAGAGGAGTAGCCAGGGACAAACAACTTCTTTCCATCACAGAATTGCATAGAATTCTCTAACTTGAAATGTATTTAGTATTTAATTGTTTTTTTCACCCTGCTTAACTCTTCAAAGGGTTATTCCCTTTTACTAATCCAAAAATCTGTGATTTTTGTGCTGTTTTTTGCTGATCTGTGTGTTCTGCCTCAGCACCAACACTGGAGGTCGGTAGAGGGAAGCAGCACAGTCTGTCAGAGCTCCTTAGGGGAAATTGTGGTTCTAGGAGTTAATCCACGCTGGATTCATACAGTGTTTGTTTATGTATCTGTTTGAAAATACTTTTTTAGGAGTAAATTCTTGCTGGAGCTTCCCAGTTTCCTGTTTCTGTACCCAAATAGAGGCACTGCTCTCTCAGTCACTGTGTCACAACTCGGAGGTTGTTCCCACCATCAGCTTTCCTGATGTAAGTCCCAGCCCAGGCTCACCTCCCAAAAAAGTCATGCTCAGAATTCTCCATTAAAACAGTCCCTTGTGTTTTAAACCTTGAGAAATGGGTGAATCATCTGAGTGCCAGCAATGCACAACTCACAAGCCTTGTGTCTTGCTGGTTTGGTCATTAAATGTACCCTTTAATTTATCCTTTAACTGTCCTTTATTATATTAAATCTATGTCCTTGTGCAGATCTCCCTCACCTGATGTAACAAAGCTGTGACAAAGATGCAGAACTGAGATGTTCCCAGAAATGGTTTGTGCAGAGAGAGAAAGCAGCAATTTCTCTGTCCCCAGCCTATTTCCCAATCAATAAAATTCTTCTTATTGGTAGCAAGCACTATGACAATGCTTTATATTATATTATCTGTTCTTAAACATATTTGAGGAAGAAATGTACCCAAAAGAACTGTGCTGAAATAATTCCACATCCACATCACCAACCATTTCCTTTGGAGAAGGGACCTGAGGGAACAGCTCTTACCATTTCACTTGTAAAAATAATAATCATTCCAAGATTCTCTGACCTGCTCTATGGAAACACTTGGGGCCTCCAACTGATAATTGCAAAGATTGAGAAATAATTTACTTAAATTAATCCCTTATGTAGAGTTAACTTTTTTTTTTCTCCTATATATAATAAATATAGTTACATAAACATATATAATTAAGTTATAACCAAGAGTATAGACTTGGGGTGGGTCTGTACTTAAATCACCATAAAAAAACCCTTTAAAACTTCATTACAAAGTCAGTGAAACTGTGAATAGTAGTGTGATGTGTCTGAACAGTGTCATTGCACTTGGTGATGCCACACATGATTTGAGTAGCAAGGGCTTTACCTCCCAGTATTGGGGTTTATTTTGGGAAAAGCAGGCTGCTGGGCTCCTCTCTGCCAAACAAACTCTTGCTGGTAAAAGCAGCAGCCTCACTTTTTGCTTCTACATCAACACCAATCTTCCTATGTGTGGAAATAACTCCCACAGAGGGAGAATTGTTGAAGCTGGAAAAACCCTCTGGGATCATCACAGCTGAGCCCACCCGCGTCCCCAAGCGCCACAGCCACACAGCTTTTCAATCCCTCCAGGGCTGGAGACTCTACCCTTGCCCTGGGCACCCTGTTTTTAACAATTTGACCCAAAAGAGACATCAGTGACATCTCAGGGACAGAGGAAGGGCCCATCCTCAGAGGCACAGGCAGATCTGCAGTTGCGGTGCCTGGAGGCATCAGGTCCAGACCATGAGGCACAGACCTGTGCAGATCCAGGGAATGACCTTCAGGCAGGATAAATGAGTAAATCACACAGGAAACAGCAGCCCTCCTACCTTTTGTGCCTTTAAAAGACAATACTTTACCTTTTTCACTGCGTGAAACACCCATTTCTGTACCCCTTTGAAGCCAGTGGAGACCCCATGTGGTGACACAGCCCCAGCCTGGCATTTCAAAATAGGGCAAAATAAAATTGTATCTAACACAATTCACCTGCTCCCTTGTCAGAGCAAGGGGAGGGCAGGGCTAACAGAGCACTTTGGGCAGCAGAGAAATGCTCCCACCCATCCAAATGGGGAAAAACGTGTTTCTCCACAAGCTTGGACCAAAGGAATCTATCCCACAGAAGCATGAGCTGGCAGCACCCTGTGGTGATGCTGAGAATCACAGAATTCCAGGATAGTTTGGGTTGGAAGGGAGCTCAAAACTCATCCAGTTCTACCCCCTTTCACTATCCCAGGTTGCTCCAAGCAACATCCAACCTGGCCTTGGACACTTCCAGGGATGGGGCAGCCAGAGCTTCTCTGGGCACCCTGTGCCAGGGCCTCCCCACCCTCACAGGGAAGAATTTCTTCCCAATATCCACTCTAAACCCTCCCTCCTTCAGCTTATGGTCGTTAAATATTCCATCCTCCTTTGGACTTGACAATGTCTCAAGGATCTCTGGTTATTTCTAAAATCCACCCTGGTGACATGGAAAAGAATAAAAATGACAGCAAACTGATTCTCTGTGGGATGGGAGGATGGACACCAGGATGCCATGGAAGGGACCTCCAGCACCTCCAGCTCGACCATCAGGGTGGACTGCAGCTTTCAAACCCATCCTTGTACCCCTGAGCCAGGACATGGGGTGGGGCAATACAAACTCTGGGAGTAAGAGTGATTTATTCTGCAGACTCTGGGACCGGCAAAGATGATGCCAAAGAAGGTTCTTCCAGGATAAGTCTGTGCAGAGGGAAGAGCTCGCAGTGCTGCAGCCTGGTCACCCTGGCCATGGTGCATCCGGGCTGGGATGGAGCCTGTGACTGCCTTGGGGTGGACTCATTATCCCACTGCTGGCTCCAAAGCCCCTCTCTCCTCTCAAGCCAGCCTCTGGCTCTCCTTATCTGAGTGTTCTGCTCTTTAAAATTAACAGCAGCTCTTGTCAGGCGCTGATACGGAGACAAAGATGATTTTCTTCCTGGTGATTATTTGGCAGGGGTGAGAAATTCTCCTCTGGATCGGCTCAGCCAGCTTTAATAACCAGCTCGGCTCCATCAGATTGGGATGAATTAATCATCGTCTTGCACCAAAACTCTCCATTTTGCAGAACTCCTGTGACTGCTCTGACGATTTCCATTCCTCTTATCTCCCCAAAATTCCAGTGGATGATCATTATTCATAATTTTCTCTTATTCAAGTAAGGCTAGCCCTGGTACCCTTTCTCATTTGGGGCAATTCACAGTGGCTGGACCACCCTCACCCCGTCTTACACTTGCCCCCCCAAGATGGGCCACCAGCACCCGGGGGCTGGGTGCCCATCACCCTACGGCTGGGCCACCGTCACCCCACTCTTCCCTCACCCCACTTTCCCCCGTCCTTCCCTCGCCCCCGGACCGGGACCCCCGACGGGGAGCTCCGCGCCGTCCCTGCGCCCGCCCGCCCCGTCCTTTCCGCGCCTTCCTTTCCTTCCCTGCCGGGAGAATGTCCCTGGATCCGGCCCCGAGGGCGAGGGAGGGGCTCCCCGCAGCCCCCCGGTGCTCCCCGCCGGGCCGGGGGGCGGGATGCGGCTCCACCTGCGGTGCGGGGCGGTGGGATGTGCGCGTCCCCCCGGGTACCTGGAACACCGAGCCGTGGGTGGGAACGTCCTGTTCCTCCGGGACTGAAAGGCTCTGGCAGCGGGGGAAAAAAAAAAAAATAAAGAAAGACAAAGCAAGACAAAAAAAAAAAAAAAAAAAAAAAAAGCCCACACCACAAAAACCCGGCTGCGAACAGCTGTGCCGGAGCCTCCCGGTGAACACCCTGCGAAGGGAACGCTCCTCCTCATCCTCACGGGAACATCGGCGGGCAGCCGGCGGCTCCCAGCCCTGAGCATCCCGAACTCCTCGGCAGGTAAGAGCGCTCCCGACAGGGACAGGGGGTCCCACAGCCACACCCTGGACCCCCCAAACCCCAGCCAGAGCCGCGGGGTTCAGCATTCATCGGAGAGGGAGCAGGACCCTGGCGATGCACAGAAGGGCTGGTTTGACTCTCGTGGGTACACGAAGCAGAATTAAAGAATTTAATTGAGCTTCAGATTTTTCATTCTGTAAGTTAATGAGCATTTTGGTTCCTCAGCTGCGAGTTTCCTGATGGATCTCCTGATGTGTTCCTGCCCCAGGCAGGGCACGGGGACCTGGAGCTGTGGTATCACAGCGTGCACCCTGTGAGTGCAGCTGGGACATAGAAAACCACAATCTCCCTCGGTTAATTACAAGGGTTTCTTAATTAATGCTGATTTGACTCTCCACTGGGGGGAAAAGACTGTCCAGATCCTCATAAGGGAGATCAAACAATAATTTTGAGAGTGTGGGGCTTGAAAGGAGGATCCTGGAGGGGAACTCTTGATTTCCATACATTTTCTGCTGGAATATATTTTACCTCATTCACTTGTGCTACTGTGAGTGGGTTTATGGAGGTGCCCAGGGAGCCAGGCATTCCCTCCTTTCCTCCCTCCCATCACAGCTGCCACAGGGAAAGACTGGAGAAGCCAAAGCTCCATGGGTGGTGAAGATATAACCAAGGGGGTAAAATAACCCAGTGGGACAGGCTGGGATTGGGTAGGGTGGACAGGCTGGGGTGGGAGATACACAGGAGTGCAGGGGATGGAAAGGATGCTCCTGCCCAGCCAGGTGGCATGGGCTTGGTGGCTTAGGGTGGAATTAACTGGGAAAAGTAAAAAGCAAGAAATGCAGGCGTGTCTTTTTTTATTGCCTTACGTCAGTGCACCTCCCAGGTCACTCTCCATGAGGTTTCTCGAGCTGATTTCTGGGTCCTACTGCCCCAAGCTGGCAGCTCCCCACAGATCTGTGCTGGCTGCTTAACTATTTCACAGCCAGCTTCTCAACTTTGCTCCATACTGGAGCTCCTCTGTGTCTGTCACAGGGCATCTTGACTCTTAAGCAAGTAATTTAAACTAGCCAGTGCCTCAGCACAGGGCTGTACAAAAGGCCCAGACTCTGGGGACAGGTCCTTCTGCCCAAAAGTTCAGCCAAAATGTATTTCTGTATCCCCTCCAGAGCTCACAGGCTCGTCTGTGTTTGAGTTGTGGAGAAGCTGCTTTGGCCATAGGGACTCCCATGGCTCCGCTGCCCAATGACTCCTGGCACAACGACTCCGCCCTGATCTTCACCGGCCTGGACCTGCTCCTGGAGCTGAAGCCGCTCTTCATCCCGCTCTATGCCACGCTGGTGGCGGTGGCGTGCATCGGGAACCTCTTCCTCATCCTCCTCATCGCCCTCACCAAGAAGCTGCACTGCACCACCAACTTCCTGATCGGGAACCTGGCGGTGGCCGACTTCATCATGTGCCTGGCCTGCGTCCCTCTCACAGTATCCTATGCCTTCGAGGAGCGAGGCTGGCTCTTTGGCATGTTCATGTGCCACTTTGTCACCCTGCTGCAGGCCGCCACCGTCTTCGTGTCGGTGCTGTCCCTCACGGCCATCGCCATCGACCGCTACGTGGTGGTGGCGTACCCGATCCGCAGGCGGATCAGCCGCAGGGCCTGCGTCGGCCTCGTGGCCTGCATTTGGCTGCTCTCCATCGTGGCCTCTGTGCCCACCTCACTGCACACCCACTACTTGGACCTCAATGCCATCGGCCACGACATGATCATCTGCGAGGAGTTCTGGAAGCACGAGGAGAGGGAGCGGCTGCTGTACTCATGCCTGATGCTGCTGCTCTCCTACATGCTCCCGCTGCTGGCCGTGTCCATCTCCTTCTGTGCCATCACCCACCACCTGCACAGGAGGAACGTGCCAGGGGCCGCCCATCCTTGCCGGGACAAGTGGACCAGGACCAAGCACAAGACCTTCCGGGTGCTCATCATTTCCGTGGTCTGCTTTGCCATCTGCTGGCTGCCTCTGCAGGTGGTCAACTTCATCCGGGACATCGATGAGGAGTTCACCATCCTGGACAAGAGGTATGTCAATGTCATCCAGGTCTCGTGCCACCTGATCGCCATGAGCTCTGCTTGCTACAACCCCTTCATCTACGCCTCCCTCCACGACAAGTTCTGGTTCCACCTCAGCAGCTACTTCTACCGCAAGAAGCAGAGCTCCAGGACCATGTCCTGCAAGGCTTCCCGCTTCAACACCTGCTCCACCCTGGCAGACGCTCCCACCGGGGCCTCGGACAAGATAGCTTTGCAATCCAGGTTACCTTAGCTGGAGGACCTTGAGGGATTTGGTTTGCATAGCCCTATATCCCAAACCATGGCTGGGACATATCCCTATATCCCGAATCGTGGCTGGGTGTAGTAGGTGTCCAGTGCTACATTTGGAGCACAAAGACTTCACCCCATGGTTTATGCAGGAGGTGGGTCGGTGTCCGAGCAAGGCAAACACCCATTGTGTAAAAAACCCTTTGGAGAGCGCACATCTTCATTGTGTAGGATATAGATTGTTCCTAAGCAACAGGCAGCACTTTGTGCCATGGGGAGAGGTCGGCTTGCACGGGGAGCTGTGAAATTGCTGTGCATTTATCCTTTAAAATTGTGGCTTACTGGTGAAGGAACAATGTAGGCTCAGAGATGTGCATTCTGCAGGTGCAGATGGGGGCACGTGGCTGCTGACAACAGGTGGCTGGTTTGGAATGGGAATGACTTCCATAACCTGCTTGTCCTGCTGGAGGAGCTGCCCCTGCAACCTGACAGGGCATCCCAGATTCTCCAGCCAAAGGTGCAGAGGCAGCTGGGCACATCCACGAAGTCATCACTGCTCTTCATGGGCAAGCAGGACTCAAAAGACCTCTAGTGATGAGTTTGCTGCGAATGATGTCTCCAATTCTGCTCCCAGGGAAGTTTAGCTTGATGGATGTCCACATTTAGGGTCCTGCAGTGGAGGTGGGGGTCCCAGTGCCAGGCTGTTCTATCCCAGAAGCTGCCAGATGAAGGGTGGGCTTGCTTGTCAGTGCTCCTCAGTGTCTGAGGTGCTTCTGTGGCCTCTCAGGCTGCTCTGTGCAAGCAGCACATGCAGAAGGCAGCATCTCCTTACACCCAATTCCCATCTAGGTTTTAACCTCTTGATTTCCCAGGAGAAACCCTTGGGAGCAGCCCACAGGCACCAGCACCCCCATAGGCACCACGGCTCAGGGCCACAGCAGCTCCCAGCTGCCCTGCTCTGTGGGGCAGAGCTGTGACCTCCCACTTCTCCAAGAACAGGACTTCAAAGTCCCCAGGCAACACATCCTCAGACCTGCATGGAACCTGCCCATGGCACTGGAAAGCATTCCCGCTTCTGCAGCAGCTCGGGAGCATCCAGTGAGGACACAGCTGGCTGGACCCCAACAGGATCCCTAATCCACTCCCCATATGCCCACCCACAGGCTTGCTCACCTTCTGGCTGAGGCCCTCATGGTGGCCCTAGAAGGACTTGTGATCTTCTGTGGGGTGACCAGCAGAGCAGGGACCCATCCAACGCAGTGCCAGTGGCCTCTGTTGTGTTCCCACACAGCAGCTCCCTCCTCGGCTTCCTGCAGCTTCCCTAGGCCTGGGCTGCTCATCCAGGAGAAGCCAAGCAAGGCAGAAGGTCCCTGTTTGTCCTTCCTGTAATAAAGGCTTCAAGAGCTTGGTCTGTGTGTGTGTGTATTGATATGAATCCCACAAACCCCAGAAACCCCTGACTGCAGCTCAGTCACATCCCAGGAAGATGCCAGCTTGCGTGTGGATAGTTCTGTCCCAGTCCTGGGCAGTGGCAGATCCTTGGAGGTCAGGCTGGGATTAGTGCTGGCCCAAGCTGCTCCAAGCCCCATCCAGCCTGGCCTTGGACATTTCCAGGGGTTGAGCAGCCACAGCTTCTTTGGGCTTCATGTGCCTCACCATGGGGCCTCACCATCCTCGGAGCCAAGAATTTCTTCCCAGTATCCCATTTAACCCTGCCCTCTGTCTGAAGCCATTTCTTCTGGTCCTGTCACTGCCATCTCTTCATTTCATCCCATCACAACCTCTATTACTTCATTCTTAATTAAAACCCCTAAATTTCCTTAAATTACACTTCTTGGCCTTTTTCTCCCTCCAACTCCACCACCCACTCATTCCCATCACTACATTTATCTGCAGGACCACTTAAAATCCATATATCCATCCCAGAGGACTGATCCACAAAGAGGATGAGGTTTTCTCTTCCATGTTTCCAGACTAGACCAGAATTTGCAGTTATTGAGCACTGGGAGAGAAAACCCCCACCCTCAGGTCACCCTGTCGAGATGTTTTGCTCATCCCTCAAATTACCTGCAGGAAAAAGGAAAACACTATTTTGGGAGGGTGAGCTAAAAGCTGAGTGACTTCTGAGAATAAACTCAGAAATCCCAGAGCTGCAGTCTGTGATTCACAGAAACTGGATATATAAAGGAGAACATGGTTTGATTTCTTAATGAAAGTAAATTAATCAGATAAATGAGGGAGAAAAACATGTTTGAAGGCTGATTCTGCAGAACATTCCTCAGGAAGTTGCTCGAAGATTTTCTCCCAGGAACCAGGGGGTATAAAGGGGATATTTTTGTTAAATCATCGTCAATTATTAAGAGTTTTGCACAATATTGTCCCTGAGGCTGTTTCTTCCTCACAAACTCTGTTGTTGGCTGAAATATGGTTGATAACAGTTGGACTCGATCTTAAAGATCTTTTTCAACCTAAACAATTCCATTCTGTGACCCTCTTCTCTACCAGGATTTGGTGCCTGTAGCTTTTCCTTCTGCCATGGCACAGCCCAGGAAGGGAAAATATTGGTCAGCCTGTTTAGGTGTTTACAGCTCTAAGGGGCAGATAATATAATCTATTCCAGTGATGTTCTTTCAAAAGCACTCTAGAAATGATTGTTTGAAAGAGCTTACCTACAAGCAGGGTTTTATTCCCATTATTTGATCCCCATCCAGGTTTCTCCCATGGCTGCAGATGATGAGGCCCTTTGTCCTGCCCTGCAGAATGAATTGAGATGAGCATCAGCTCTAAATGCACATGAGGGATCAACACTGTTTCCATGTGTACTCCTAGAAATTTCCTCCTCTGCCTCCAAGTCAGGCACAGCAAACAAAATTAGCCTGGTAATTTTCCATTGACTTTTAGCCCCCCGTCTCACTGTGTTTGTTCTGTCTCGATGTCACCAGTGATGACAAAACATCCAGAACAGAGAAGCTCTTCCACTGAGCCAGGATCATTGGGCAAATTTTATTTGTGGATCTGGAAAAGGCTTAGAAATTGTTGATTCATTTTATATTATTATTATAATTATTACCATTACCATTATTTCCTGGTTTATTGTGAATAACATTCTGACTCAAGCCACTGCTTCTGATTTCCTTGAAAGGACTTGCAAAATACCTTTTCCATTTCTCTGAGCAGATTCCATAGGCTGTACAAACTGTGGCCAATTCTTTCCAGATCTTGGCTCTGGTTAAAGAGGCACGTTTGTGACATGTACATAAGAAAAATCAGGCTTATTTTCACTTCTCTTGGCTAAAAGCACAGTTGATACAGCTCAGGCTCACAGTAAGGACCCAGAATGGATCCTGGTTTGGGATGGAAGAGACCTTAAATCCCACCCAGTTCCACCCCCTGCCGTGGGCAGGGACACCTTCCAGCAGCCCAGGTTGCTCCAAACCCTGTCCAGCCTGGCCTTGGACACTTGGGGGCTGGATCCCACTGGATCAGGCAGACTGAGCACCTTCCCATGGACATCACCTCTCTGTGAACTGCTGGATCTTCCAGCATTGTTGAATTATTGAAAGCACCACAGTTGATTTATGGATGTGCCCACTTCCGACTCATCTTGTATTCCCCCGGTGCCTCCTCCTCCTCTGTCGCTGTGAGCGCTCACACTTTTAATTTCTGTGAGCGTAGCAAGCTCTTGCTGCAGCAAATTAACCAAGATTTCCTAAGCCCCAGTTTACTCCTCATTCATCTGTTTTATCCATCATCCCACTCCCGCAGCAGATGCCAAGAATCTCCTTAGTCACACACAGCGGTCACCGTGCCCTCGCTTGGGGACAGATCTGGCATTTATTTACCAGACTTAGTTCAACATCATTTCCCAAGGTGATGATGAGGGATGGGGTGCTTTGTACCAGTCCCCAAAAAGCTACAGACACAGCCCTGGCCTGGTGCCTCTGCCTGGGAGTCTCCAGCATGCCAAGGATGGAGCAGGGCTGGGAGACACCCCAAAAACCCTCCCACTCAAAGCATCATTTTTACTGCATGTTAATATCCAATTTTGGGAGCAATGTGGGAGACACAGACATTTCCTGCAGCAGGGATGGAGTCATCCCACAGCCCCTGGCAGCAGAGAACTTGGGGTGATGCTCCAGCAGGGGGTGGCTGCCTCCCCCCGGATGCTCCAGCCCATCTCCCGGCTGTGATGAGCAGAACGAGGCCGAGGCCATGCTCAGCGTGCAGGTGACAGGCGCTAATTCCATAAACGAGGTGAGCGCTGATTGCCACGCAGGGAAGCGCTGCAGAGCGGCTCTGGGTTGCCATAGGAACCCATCAACCCTCCCCACCCCCCGGGAAAAGCCAAGTTGCTGGATCCAGACGGCTCCTCTGGTGGTGACAGTGGGGGGCTCTGCATAGTGACAACCTCCCGCTCCAAGAATGGAACCAGAGCAACCTCAGGAGGTGAAAGATGGCAGTGGGGATGCCTAAGGCTCCAAGGAAACCTTGGAGCCCCTTCCTGCGCCTAACGGGGCTCCGAGAGAGCTGCAGAGGGACCTGGACAAGAGCCTGGAGTGACAAGGGGGAATGGCTTCCCAGTGCCAGAGGGCAGGATGGGAGATTGGGAAGAAATTCTTCCCTGAGAGGGTAGCGAGGCCTCAGAGCACAGATCACCCAGAGAAGGTTGCTCCATCCTGGAAGTGTCCAAGGCCAGGTTGGACAGGGCTTGGAGAGGAACCTGGTCTAGTGGAAGGTGTCCCTGCTCCAGGCAGGGGCTGGAACGGGATGGGATGTCCTGGCAGGGGAACAATGGGTCCCTGCCGATTTTACCAGGGCTCCGAAGGGAAAGTCTGCATTGCTGAGAGTGTGCGTGACGCTGATAAAACTCCAAAGTTCTGAAATAGGATCCTCGCAGCTCTTTATCCCAAAAATGTGGCAAAAAAAGATATTGCAGTAATCCCACTGGGTTGCAACAAGAGCCTGGTGAAGCAAATGGATGAATTTTCAAGATTTACCCTCAAACTCAC